ATATAAAAAATCAGTAACAGCCGATCACATCGCACATTTTATACCGACCGACTGGTTGCTCGTGAGAGGAATGATATGTGGCAATAGTTAAATTGAATTCGGGTTTTAATCAGATTGACGCTACTATCCGATCACATTCACAGCACAGTGTGTTCTCTTATAATATGCGCTGAATTTTGTTTCAGGCCATCGATGTGTGGTTGGTAACTTGTATGTGTTTTGCATTCGCCACGTTGCTAGAATTTGCTGTCATTAACTATCTAACCCAAAGATCAAAGGAAAGCTACCCGTGCAGTGATATGTTCAACTGTTCGTGTATGTCTTTGAAGTGTCTAAATAACAAGGTAACACATTTAAAGGGCGGTAGTCGTCGCGCCACGCATGCGCGAGATATATGGGTTTCGTATAAACAAAGATGGCAACTTTCAAGTTGGCTGTTGCGCAGATCAACGACTACAAACTGAAACGTTACCAAGCTCTAATTAGGTATTTTTTTAGGTGATTGGAAGGTATCGAATCGGTGATAGTCGTCGCGCCACGCATGCGCGAGATATATGGGTCTCGTATAAACAAAGATGGCGACTTTGACTGTTGCGCAGATCAACGACTACAAACTGAAACGTTACCAAGCTATAATTAGGTATGTTTTTAGGTGATTGGAAGGTATCGAATGACTCACTAGAGATAATTAGTGCAAGTTGCGCCCAGGTCAAACCCCATACTTGTGATTTCCATTAGATGAGCGCATTGGATTTTGGGAAAATCAGTGTTTATATACAATACAAATGTCGCACATGCGCAGCGCGACGACTGCCGCCCTTTAAACTAATATACCATAATTACAGGCATCTTAATCTACAAAAAAATGTTATTTGAAACGCAGGTTACAGGTTGCAGATCGACAACGATAGCAGATTATTAAAGACTTCCGCAATATGAAACCTATTTTAAAAATAAACGCATTCAATACAATTCAATACATGATATCCATTATTTTTACAGTCAAGTCTGTATCTATGTCGCCGTTGGTGGCGTGCTTTTCCGCCAGTATAAAATAAAGCCAAGCGGAAATGATTTTACCAAGAGTTTTCAAAATGCATGCCAGGAAATCATTGTATCATTTGCGTAACAATTAACCTCTGGGATTGCACTGTTGGTAGTCCTATAGCCCGAGACAAGTGAAGTTATCATCCGAACAACTGAAAAATATATAGCCGAGGCGGCAACGCACAATCGTATAGTCGTTTTTACAGTAACTTTGCAATCATCGGTCATATTTATGCGTATTGTATGTTCTTGTGTATTATTGCAGCGGTTTGAACAAATCCACTGAAATTATTTTTTAAGTGACTGGGGTTTGTACTATAAGGAAATCCGATATCAATTTTTTGTATTAATAAGTCAATTTGCGTAATAATCAACCATTATCAGTATGCATTAGTTTGTGTCCTAATAACTGTTAACAACTGTATCAGCCTATGGCAACCACAACCCGGAAGTCTTTCGTATTTACGCTCTGTGTACGGTCCAGTCCACTGATATGTCAGTAACTGGACAACTGATTTCAGTGTGAATAAATAACATTTTCAGAATAAATAAATAACATTTAACAAATGTAAATAAATAACATTTTTAGCTCCGCTGTCAACTTTGTCGAGCGGAGTTTATCATATGAGTGATTGTCCGTCGTCGTCGTCGTCGTCGTCCGTGTCAACTTTTTACTTTTCGACTTCTTCAAGCCTGAATGCGTTGATACATGATGTATATGCACCTTGGGTAGACCTCTCTTAGATTTGTTCATTTCAGGATGATAACTTCAATTCTTTAATTTTGATGAATATTTGTGTCATTTTTGGTAAAAAGTGATATTTTCGACTTCTTGTTAAAAAATACAAGTGAGATTGCTGTGATATTATATGAATAGGTACTACATGTGGACCTCTCTAAATTTGTTCATTTCGTGATGATATCTTCAATTATCCAATTTTGATGAATATTTTCGTCATTTTTGGTGAAAATTGATATTTTCGTCTTTTTTGGTGAAAACAGCAGGTCCGATTGCTTTGATACTATACGTATTGTTCA